AGAGGGGATACTTCAAAATGGCAGCACCACATGGAGCTGACCCCGGACTCCATGTGGTGCTGTCACTTTAAGGGGGTTCTTGTACACTTCAGAGGAGGAATGCAGAAGTACCTATCAACTAGTCAGTGGAAATTCCATCGACTGCTCGACTAGTATATTAACTGATATTTAACATCCTTAGTGTGAGCCAGTCAGTGCCTCTCAGGCTCTGCCCGCAAAGCTAAGCAGCCAGCACCTTCCACAATACCCCGCCGCTCTCTGCATCTCCTCCCTAGGGGCTAGAAATGCTGACGCCCTGTATCCGTCTGTTCCAGCCAGCCTGTCTGCTTGCATCTTGAAATGTTCACCCTGCCTGAGAGATGCCTCTCTATTGTGGAGCATGTTCCTAGTGATGGCCATGTTCAAAGGATACCAACCGCAGGTTGCATGTTAAGCCCTGCATAAACCCAAACTGCACTGCGGGCTGCAAACAAACGGGCCGCGGGCCACATGCAGCCTGTGGGCCATGTGTTGAGTAGTCCTGTTCTATGTTATGGCGTGAGATTGATCTTGAAACTTCAGTTATGTGAATAGTGTAGCTGAAGTGAATGTTCTTAGGTCTACTTACCACATTATCGTGCATCAAAAGGAGACTCCCAATCGACTCCTCTTGTGCTCCCAGTTCTGATGGAGTACTGGAGTCGGCATTGGCAAGTGACTTATCATGTCTGATGCTATAAATTGACTCTTGCTGGATTGATTACTGCCTGTTGATCTGGCTGGTAGTGTAGACATGCCCACACTTATACAGATTTTGTACTCGTGTGTAGACCAGTGTTTAGAAGAGGGTGGTATTTAGTGCTGGTGACCTAACTTTTCATAGTTCATTGTGTTCCTACGTGCTCAGTTTGAGGCTCAGTATCCATACAGAGCATTTCCATTACCTCCCTAAAAACACTTCTGAAATGAATGCCATGACATCTGGTCAAAATGTTATTAAATTGGCGATCAATAATACTATTTGAATCTCACTTTTTTCCAATGTGTTTTATTTATAGGATCGGGTGGGTTCAGAAAACGAAAGCATGACAATTTCCCACATGGCCAAAGGAACGATGAAAAAGATAATGCTAATTCATCTTTGGTGGTGTCTTTTAAGTGTAAGTAAAAGTTGAAAGTTCAGACCGTGACCTTAACAATGTGTACAATAAAAGTTAGTGGAAATAAAATATTTAATGATGGAGTAAAATACAGTTGTCCATAGGCAAGATTGAAATCAGCAAAACATCCTTAAATCTGGAGCTTGATCTCTTGCTTTCTAAGCCAGCAGTGTGCCATGGTAGAGATGATGCGGTAATATTTTAGTTAGGGGAATGGTGAGACACAGCGCTTCTTGCTGATTACAAAGGATATGATTCTGTCATGGACTTCTGAGGCAGAGCAGGAGCCATGTCCCCTAAAACAGCCATCATTAGAGCAGCTTACTGGCTGTCAGCCCTGGAGCAAGTCCCTGGAACAGTTTTCTTCCCTCTTCCTTTCCCCCAGTATTTTTAGTAAAAGGTCGCAGGCTTCTGTGAATTTTTGTTTATTGCCCGTGACTTGTCCCTAGCTTTTACTAATAATACCCAGTACAGAATCATAATGTCACTGATCATCTTTGAAATCAGAGCTTTGTTGCTCAGAAGCAAAAGTTGCAGTTATTTGAGATCAGGGCTCGTTTACACACAAAAGTTGAACTAATCTCATTGTTAAACTGGAACAGACCCATTATTTGTGTTTGAGAGTCTGATTTTGGTTCATTGTAAACCAAAAACCTGTTTCTAATTTAAATTAAACCAGAATAAGTTTGGTGTAAGACAAAATACGTGCTTATATATAAAAATAGGATTTTGCACTAATTTAACTGCTTTAATCTCCTGCTTCAAATCTTAAACCAATGCAACTTTTATTATGTAGAAAATCCTTAGTGCATCCATGAGGTCAGTTTCGTAGGGCAAAATTGGCTTGATTAAAACACACTAATATCACCCAGGCTCCTGGTTTACTATCTTAACAAGGTTCCTTCACTTTTTTTTAAGGGGTGAGCACTGTGAAGAGGGAAGAATCAGAGGATAATTGTGTGGGATTGTAGAGTCCTTGCAATATGAAAGAAAGCTAGGAAACAGAAATTGTGTGTGATATATATCAAGCAATGGAAAATAATTTATCTGATCAGAAAGGTAAATCCATGTCTTAGCATGATCTAAAATTATCTGTTGCTCAAAGACTAATATAACTAAGATAAACAAACTTTTGTGAAATGAAGACTTCATTTTTGGGTGAACATAGCTATTATTAGAAAAGGTTTATATGACTTTTTTAGAATTCTGATTGTCAGTAATTGATATTGTTTTTCCAAAACTAGATATTTTGTATGTAAACAAATAAAAATAAACTTTATGGTGCAGCTGTAGCATGATTATTAATGGTATTCTGTGTTATATTTCTATGAAAATTAGTTATTAGAATTCTTCAAAAGTAAGTTCATATGAATGACACTTTGCATTTTCTGTTAATGTTTGTGTACTGTTAATTCTCTGATATTAAGGACTTCAAGTTTTCAATACTTTAACCATTCCCTTCCCGGAGGCTCCTGTAATACCACAGTGCAGAGACTAGTATGAATCTACAAATTAGGCTGTGAGCAGTTTGCACTTAAAGCAGAACTGCAATCCAAATTCATACTTTAATAATTAACTATAAGTCTTGTCTAGACTGAGAAAATGCATCCTGTTAGGATATGTGTTGTTAAAATAGCGCAGTATTAAACATTATTTTTGTTTTAGTGTGAATAAAAACAGTTGTGTTTAGAAACATGCTAATTGGTTGAAACACAAAATGACATGTACATTTACAATATAGCTGGGAGTGTACCTTCCAGCACCAGTTGAAATATGTGCACTTGCTCTACTAAAGTTAGCATGTTAAAATAGCTGTAGAGCTGGGAGTGGCATTAGTGGCAGTCAGATCATACTTACAATCTGAGTACAAACCCTCCCAGATCCCCCAGGTATGTACGTGGGTGGTAAGCTTGAGCCACTGACCATACTACCACTGATTATACTGCTGTTGTTTTTTGCACACTAACTTGAATGGAACTAGCATATTCATGTTGGGAAGTATGCTCCCTAGCTGCACAGTATACATGTACCTTAATTACTTGTTTTCTGATATGTTTTCTCAATATGAACAAGGTCTTCCTCTCCAAATTTGGCATGATATTCAAAGAACAATTGCATTTGCTGTGTAAATCTTTTTAGTAAAATATTTACTAATTCTTTCAGGGAGAACATATACAAATTCTCACTTTTTTTTTAAATATGCCGTTATCCTCAGATTTATTGTACTTTGCAACTGATTAACTGTGCCCTTTTGCTGTCCTTTATATTTAGTAAACAATCTCAGTGTTGACCAGACACTGTCCAACTTCTAACTTCTCTCCAATCTGAAGAATAGCTGTTCATCTTGAATTTATTACTAATATGTGTGCCTCTTTCAATATGTTTGTCCTCTGTGGAATTGAGTGTATGTATCTAGCTGCAAACTAGAGAGAAAGTAAGACCCTAGTACAAATGAACCGAGAATAACAGAAAAAAGGGAGGAAGAATGAACAAGAGAAGAAAGTATACATTTTTTCTGATACCTGTGAAACATTCAGAAATTTTTGACTGTAACAGCTAATCCTCTAGGAATCATCATTATCTCTAAACAAACTGTTCACATAGACTTGTAATACAGATGTAACATGCATTCCCGATGTTTCTGCCCCCAAAGAGTGAGCATGGCTGGAGGAAGTGTTAAGACAGGAGAAGAAACAGATTGGTACAAATCCAATATAAAGTTACAGCAGCTGATTAGTCATATAACTTATGATGAAGCTAAGTTAAACAAGATCCTCCATTGTGGCAGCAGGATTAGGCCATAAATTAGAATATTAGAAATAAAAATGACAGCCTTTTACTACTTTTAAAATGTATTTACATTTTATTGTGTTTTCTGTGCAGTAACATCTAGATAAGCATTGTAATGGTATGACTTTATATAAAAATCAAATGTGAAATAATGGAAGATTAAATGGTTCTTGTACACAAATAGTGTGGTAATAGAATGCTTAATATTGTATTACATTGCATATGAGAATTGTTTTTGTCATCTGCATTTGGTGTTTAGCATTTCAACTGGAGCTTGATACAAGACATGATAAATATGAGAGGCTTGTGAAACTTAGTCGTGATATAACTATTGAAAGCAAAAGGACGATATTCCTACTTCACAGGATTACTAGGTGAGTCGCAATATTAATTCACATTTCCATGCTGACCCAGAAACTTCTTATTTCTCTGTTGTGTTTTTTTTGTATACATGAGTAACAGATGCAATATTCTGCTGAGACAGACATCAAAGAAGATAAACATAGGCTCAGGTTGTTTCCAATAAGCTGTGTTGTTTTATTTCCTCTAAAAGGATATGTAAGGCAGTGGGTACTAGGGAAGTAAAGGAGTAGTCGACTACAGGCAGTCCCCGGGTTACGTATAAGATAGGGACTGTAGGTTTGTTCTTAAGTTGAATCTGTATGTAAGTCGGAACTGGCGTCAGCTGCTGCTGAAACTGATCAGTTTCAACCGCGGCTGAATCTGGATGCCAGTTCTGACTTACATACAGATTCAACTTAAGAACAAACCTACAGTCCCTATCTTGCACATAACCCCGGGGACTGCCTGTACTTGATCAAGCTAATTGTGATAAAGCAGAAAAGTAATCACTAAGTCTGTCTTCATTCCCCTACCTTATTGTGTCAAATAATCACTTGGGGACGAGGGGGAGGAAGGGAGAGGAGGGAGAAGGGAAGGTCTTATGCCAATTCAATTTCCAGCCTCCACAAGGCTCCTGCAATAAAATCAGTTTCTGACACCAGAACCAAAAAAAAGCTTCTCTGAGCTACTCTTACTAATGTTAAGCTTTAGCAACTCATCTTTGCTACTATGGAACAGTTTTTATTCAAGTGGCCAATCTGCTATTCTTATGTGTTTCTGACTAAGAGCTGAGTATAGCTTTCAATCAGATAATTTATTTTATGTAGTATTCTTTTGGAGTATAGCCTCACTGAAAATAATGATTTTCAAGTATAAACAGCATGAGCTGTACTTGTCATTTATTGTCCTTTGTACCAGTAAGCCTAAATTTATCAGTTAATCTAGTCAAGTACTCGTATTCCCCCCCCTTGCTGTCTCTGTATCAGCAAGGGGGATCAGGAGTCGGTGCTGGAGTCAGATGACTTAAAAGCTGGTTCCCCACAGCACTGGTGCTGCCTGTCCCCTTCCACTTTCCCCGTGCTGCTGCTCTATGAGAAGCAGCACCAGGGTGGGGGCAGGGGAGGCTGCTGCGAATCCCTTGTCTTTGGGGCATCCGAGCTCTCTGTGGACACGGGCTGCTGTTTCTGTATTGGAGGCAGCAAAGGGTGGAAGAAACAGAAGCTGGTGCTGGGTAGGGTTGTCAGATGGTTGAGCAAAAAAAAAAGAAATGCGCCCAGTGTGGCAGTTGTGGCCCCGCCTCCTGTTATTTTCAGGAACAACGGCATTGAACAAGAGGGTTTTTGTTGCGCAAGAAGGAGCAGTGTAGACAGCTCCTTCTGGCGCAAGAGCCTCTTCTGCAAAAATGGCGGATCATTAGGTCTGCAAATGAGGCTCGGCAATATTCCACGTTTAGCCTCATTTGCATATTTCTCGCGCAAGAAGCCGCAAGTGTAGACATAGCCAGTGTGAGTGCTATTGTCAGTAAGGTGCCGGCAGCTGCCATTTTTAAACCTTGATGCTGTCCAGGTTTGCTTTGAGCAGAGGTAAACAATATAATGGTTATCATTCTCGTGGCCACTAGATCCTTGCTGCCTAACACTGTGTCTGTTGCTACACAAAGTATAGTGTGGAACTTTCAGGAGGAAAAAGGCTTGTTTGTAGACTCAGCGTAGGTACTTAAATGTTCAGTTCTTCCTTTTGTCTCTGCGAGTTTAGACTCTTTTGTATCCTGAAATCCTGTTTCCTGTAGAAGTGTATTACTGGTGGTTTGCTGTACTGTCTGTACTTCCCTTTCCCTCTGTCTTAACTATTCAGTATAGAGCCCAGTTTCAGAATTCTAACCGCCTTTAAACATTTGTTCAAAACCTAACTCAGCCAAAGCCACAAAATAATTTTTAAAAATATGTTGTACATTTATAATACAATGTACATTGTTGGTTTTTTTAAGTACACTAGATGAACTATCCTTTAAATACTGTATATCAGTGGTACTCAAACTTTTTTTCACGCACCATTTGAAAATTGATGAGGATCTCAGTGAACTACTCAATGATCTTTCCAAATGTTGCTTGTACCATTAGCTAACTATTGTAAAGGGCTTTGGACAAAAGCACTATATAAATAACCCTTAATAATAAATAATAATAATTATGAACTTTACAACTCATTTTTATATCAGTAGGAGTCTCTTCCCTGTCACAGCAGCCATAGAGCTAACTCTTGGAAGAAAGGCATCACTCCTCAGCAGGCACAGTCCAGTAGCTAGGGAAAACAGCCTCTTTCTCTGGCTGCCACAGCCCAGCATGTCCCATTTCTCACCCGATTGCCTCCCCCACACTTCCTATTTCCCCCACTTCACTCACTGCCTCCTCCTCCTATCCCCAGTTTCTCCCAAGGCTACCAACTCACCTTTCATGTGAGGGTCCAGGCACCTGATTGGTGGAACCATGCCTGGAAACCACTAATTAGGCTGGCAGCCCTTCATTCTCTTGAGTGGGACCATCCAGGTGTGCACCTTAGGGGAAACTGTCCACGGACCACTTGAATGTAGTTTGTAAACCATTAGTAGTCCACGGGCCACAGTTTGAAAGCCTCTGTTGTTTATATAAAATATAATGTAACAGCAGTTGTGGATCATATATGATAGAGGTTTCTGTAGACCATTGGTTCTCATAGTGTGATCTGCGACCGTCTTGCAAGTGGGCCGCAGGCTCGCGGCTCACCCCACTCTCCTGCAGCGGAGAGCCTACACTGGCACTCCAGCACTGTGCCCTCATCCTTGCGGGCTGGATCCAGCTTGCAGGGGAAGGAAGCAGCTCCACATACTGCCACTCCTTCCACAGCTGCAGGAACAGCAGCTCAGGAAACCATTTACCTGGAGGCTTTCCCCGCTGCTCCCATTGGCCAGAATCCCGGCCACTGGGAGCAGCAGGGAGCAGTGCCTGGGAGCAGCGGGAGGCATGGAACCAGGTACGCGTCCCCCATACTCCTTATCCCCCTCAAGTACCCATCTCCCACTGAGACCCCACACACTGTACCTGCTACAGCATCCTCCCTTCCAGACTCCTCCACTCTCAGCCTGCTCCTGCACCCAACCTCCCGGCCAGACCCTCCCCCCATCCCATTCTTGCACCCTAGTTTCCACCCAGACCCCACATCCTTAGCCTGTTCCTGCACCCAACTTTCCAACCAGACCCCTCCACTCCCAGCCTGCTCCTGCACTCCTCCTGGCCAGACTCTGTACCCTCACCCCTTTGTGCATCCATTTTGTCATCATGGGTGATTGGTTGGTGGTTCACAGAGGGTTTGTGTTGAGCCGGGTGGGCTGCAGGCCAGAAAGTTTGAGAACCACTGCCTTAGTGGCATATTTCATAAATACTGCTTAAAAACATATAAAGTAGATCCTTACGCTGTTAATCAGTCGTATTACAAAATGCTGTGAATTTTGGGTATGGGAGACGGGACTTCTGCAGATTTTTTTTTCTAGCTTTTCTGTATAATTTAGTTTGAAGCTTGTTATTATCTTCCTTGTTATTTCTGCTTTCATCATAATTAAAGTAACAGCCTGAAATAAGCAGAAATCTATTCAGACTGGGTTTGACTGGTCGATTATCTTAAAGGTAGTTCTTTTTAGCATCTGTAGTAGAATTCAAAGGTACCTACTTCCACTAGATCAGAAAGATTCATTTTAACTTTTTCATTCCAAAATATTGAATTTTGACTGCACTAATTAAACAGTTATTAGTAAAAGATAATGTAATTTAACTCTTTGTTGATGTTCTAATATCTGCCACTTTGTAATTTTATTTGTGTTCTGTGTTTACAGTGCCCCCAATAGGGAGGAAATACTAAATGAATCTGAGGCCAAATTAGAAGCTGTCAGACAGAAAATTAAGCAAGTAGCACAAGAACTGGTAGGAGAAGATATGTATCAGTTTCACAGAGCCATTTCTCCAGGTAAGTATACATTGCGCTAGGATGTATGCTCACATTGGGCCGAATTCAGTTTAGATACAACTCCATTACTTCCGCAGCCATGCATTTACTTACACCAGGGCTGAATTTGCAGTTTAAAACATAGATTGTGTTTTTTCTCTTTTTGAAGATTAAAAAGCATGCTCTTGATTATATTTCATAACGCTAAAATATGTAAACACATTATATAGATATGAGTGTTAAGCACAAACTCTAATGTGTGCACCATTCAAACTTCCCCCCTCGATTTCAACTTCTCTGTGTAAATGGCAGTCTTTTTATAAACAAGTTTCAAAGGTCATCTTAGTTTTTCAGCTGCACTGATGGACACAATATGTTGAGTTTTCCCACAGAGTTTTTTATATCCTTCTCTCACATGCAAAAGAACTGTATTTAGGCACTATCTGTGGCACTAGTGATCAACAGAAACTCTGGCTGTAAACATCACTTGGTCTTTAGGGGTATGTCTACACTACCCTCCTACTTCGAACTAGGAGGGTAATGTAGGCATACCGCACTTGAAAATGAAGCCCGGGATTTGAATTTCCCGGGCTTCATTTGCATAAGCCGGGCGCCGCCATTTTTAAATCCCGGCTCGTTCGAACCCCGTGCCGCGCGGCTACACGCGGCACGGACTAGGTAGTTCGGACTAGGCTTCCTAGTTTGAACTACCGTTACTCCTCGTGGAATGGCATTCAGCTCCTGGGCCTAAGGTTCCCCACCCCTGCTCTAAGAAATTGAATAGCATGAGCTGACTGTATTGTGAATATCTTGTTTTTATTTGAAATCTTTATTTGCGTATGTAAGTGCCTTTTGCATTAAGGTGATTCTTATATCATCAGTGAATCCTTAAATGCAGTTCTCTGGTGCTTATGACTAGGGATGTGAAGGTTTAACCAGTTAACTGATGGCTCTGGAGCAGCTCTCCACTTGTCATGGGCAGGGGGCCGCTCCAGCCATGCAGGAGGCCCTCCACAGACAGGGGATGCTCCAGCACAGCCCCTGACTGTGGGAAGCCCTGGCCCACCTGCCTGCCGTGAGGGGGATCTTTCAACCCAGTACCCTCCCTCCACTTGCCCCCCTTTTAATTCATTAACCAGTTAAACAATATGTTTAACCAGATAGTCAGTTAAACAGGATTTTACATCCCTAGTTTTGACCTGGTATCAAGTATGAACAGTTTGAGGCCTGATGGAAATATACACAATGCCAATAAAATCTATGGTGTGCATAGATTCCCTTTTGGCTCATATTTCACACCATGTTATAATCCAGCATAGTTTGTGGTGTGCACAGCATTTAAAGGCTCTGCTTCATGTAGCTATCAGAGCATATAAATTTTAAGCAGCATTTTAAGTGTAAAAGGACTCAAATTGCATACAATTCAGAATACTGGAGTAGTAGGGATGTTAAATTGAGGTTAATCAGCTAATTAAGTAGTCGATAGAATACTCTATCAATAGGAGAGTACTCGCTACCTCCGCCGTGGCTTTGTACTTTAAATATAGTAAAATGCAGAGCTGCAGCGGGGTTAGCTCCTTGGGCCGGCTCGCACCAGCTCCAGGACACTGTGGCTCTGCTCCCCCTCCTCCGCCCCCCCATCTTCCTGCACCGTGGAGACCGTGCTGGGGGAACTGAATTTTCAAGAAGCAGCAAGCAGGGGGAAAGCGAGTAGTCGATTCGATTACCCAAGAAGCATATGCTTATCAGTTAGTCGACTAGACGACTACTCCCTTACATCCCTACACTGGCGACCTCATAGCAGAGGCTTAGAAAGCAAATGAGAAAACCTGACACACTCTAGGTGTTGGAGAATGCTCTTGGGGAGTGGGGGTGAATGCACTGATATACAGGCAGTCCCCAGGTTACGTACAAGATAGGGACTGTAAGTTTGTTCTTAAGTTGAATCTGTATGTAAGTCGGAACTGGCATCCAGATTCAGTCGCTGCTGAAACTGATCAGTTTCAACAGCGGCTGAATCGTCACTGATTTTTTTTAAAGTTTTATATTTATAGTTATACAAGCTATATTTTTATATATAAAGAACTTAGGGCTGTTGATTAATCACAGTTACAGCACAATTAAGTTAGAATTAATCATGATTCATGACAGATTTAATAAATTTCAATTGGCATTCTATTGTTTAACAATGCAAATGAAATACAAGTGTACCGTTGATCACTTTATATTTTTATAATAAATATTTGACCTATAAAAATGATAAACAAAAGAAATAATATTTTTCATTTTACCTCATAAGCACTGTAATGCAATCTTTTATCATGAAAGAGTAACTTACAAATGGGAGTGAGGAAAGGGTTGTTACATAACTGCACTCAAAACAATGTAAAACTTTAGAGCCTACAAGTCCACACTCAGTACTACAGGCAGTCCCCGAGTTACGCAGATCCGACTTACGTCAGATCCGCAGTTACGAACGGGGATTTTCTCGCCCCGGAGGACTGGAGCAGCGAGACGCCTGGTCCCGCCGCCCGCCTCCTCCGGGGCGAGAAAAGCTGCTCCCCGCCTCCCTGGTATGCTGGGGGAGCTAGCAGACCAGGGAGACACTGAGCAAAGCGGTGGAGGACCCGGGCCGGACCCGCAGCGCTGATCTGGAAGCGCCGTGGTCCGGCCCGGGTCCTCTGCGGCTTTGCTCAGCGTCTCCCTGGTCTGCTGGCTCCCCCAGCAGACCAGGGAGACGGGGAGCAGCTTTTCTCGCCCCGGAGGAGGCGGGCGGCAGGACCAGGCGTCCCTCCGCTCCAGTCCTCCGGGGCGAGAAAATCCCCGTTTGTAACTGTGGATCCGACATAAGTCGGATCCGCGTAACTCGGGGACTGCCTGTAGTTCATTTTAAAGACATAGCACCAATTTGAAAAATCACATTTCTGTGTGAAATGTCTGTAAACTTGCTCTAATTTCAAGTAGCACCTAAGATCACAATAACTGAAAGGAATGAATGAAAGTAGCAATTAATTTCTAATTTTTGTGCTTTCAATAAGATCACTTCAGTGACAGCACCCAGGACAGTTTAATATGAAGATGTAATGACAGGAGGCCATGTATTTTCTGTTCTGGATTAATCAGATGGGTTGTGGGCTTTCACCTTCATCCTGAGTGTTGGTATAAATTATGCTCATGTTCTGGTTGAGGTCCCTGAAGGGTACCATAATGCCACAGTATTTTTCATACACCGGTACAACAGGAATGTCACTGAATATGTAGTTGAATATGTAGCTGACATATTAATAATACAAAGCGCTTTAAACTCCAACGAGTAGTCTTGGGTAAGGTGTTGATGGCATCAGAGAGGGCTAAAGGTCAATGAAAGAAATGTCCAGTTGATTCTGTAAATTATTTAGGCACCGCCTTTGATGCCAGAGATCCAGTGGACAGAGTGAAGTTAATTACTCAGCTGCCTCTGCCAACAGATGTTATCCATCTAAGATCCTTTCTGGAGCTGACAGAGTTTTGTATGAAACTTGCTCCACAACATGAAGAAAAGGCAACCCCCTTTTTAAAAAATGGTTCAAGACAAATGAGGCACAGAATTGGACTCCAGCTCATACCAAAGCAGTAACTCAATTTAAAGGAGCCTTACTGCAGATCTGGATAACTAGACCCTGAAAAACCTTTCGTGTTAGAAGTTAGTGCTACAGAGTCAGCTTGGGAATGATCTTAATGCAGGAAGACAAACCAGTGCCTTCCAAATATTGGATGAGACTGAAGTAAAATTTTTGCCTTGCAAAATATAGTCATTGGTAGTATATTGGGGTATATTTCATTTTAGTTACTTGACAGGACATACCTTTGTCATTCTGTGAACCCTGCATACTTCCAAAAGATTACCAGTGTGGTGCCCCAAATTTAGTGGAGCTACATATGTGTATACCTAAGGATGGCTTTGAAGATAAGAGGTGACAAGAAAAGTAATGAATCAGCTTATTGGAATAGCACATGTGACCAGTTAGCTAAGTAGGCAGCATGGGGAAACAGTTTGTTGGAGGAAACTAAATAAGAGGGCCAGGTATAGTTAGTAGTTAATCCCAAAGTGGAGTTTACGGATCATGGTCTGGTACAGGAAGAAGTAAACAGATAAAAAAGGATGTCACGAGGGTAGGGAAATTTAATAAAACAGAAGTGGAAGTGACTACAGAAGGCTTAATCTCGATGAAAACTGGAGAACATTGGAAATGGGTAATACCTGAATTTATAGGATTAAATTTACTGTTGTGGGTTCATGACAGACATGGACATCAGGGAATTGATTAAAAGTAAGGAGTGATTCAGGTGAGATGGTTGGTAAATCATGGCAAGGATGTAAAAAAGTATGTTCAGAGATATTTTCCTTGTGCAGCAGGGAATGCAGATTGTTGACTCAAAGGGGTCCCTTCATTGTGTCTTAGTTCTAGAATACAATTTGATTCCATTGGATCACTGCTCCAAACAGCAAAGTGGAATAAGCTTCCGCTGGTAATTGTAGATTCTTTCACAAAATGAGCACAGGCTATCCTTACGAGAAATAAATCTGCAAACGAAATTCTTACTGAACAAGTGTTCTCAAGAAGGCGTATCCCTGAAAGGATAGGCTCAGGTCAGAGAACTAGTTTCACTGGTAGGTAGCATGATGAAAAATGCCATGAAAATCTGTGGAATTGATCAATGATTTCATATCTCTTACCATCCCCATGTAAGTGGACAGATAGAAAAGATGACTAGAGCTATAAGAAGTCCCCAATTTATGAACTGGGTGTGTTCCAAAAGTTTGTTTGTAAGTTGGATGGAACTCAGAACACATTTCCCATAGATACAATGTTATAAATAGTGTTTAGGTTCCCAGGCTAGTCCACAGAAGCCTATTTTACCCATAATGTAGCTGAAATATTGTATATTTGCAATGAAAAATAGTTGAAATAGATTTTTATATAACCTTGAATTGCTGGTGCTTGAGGCAAGACAGGTTGAATTAGATAAGAATGAGGAAG